ACGAGCCCCGCGGCGCTCCGAAAGCTGCCCCCGAAGCAGCCCGCGCAGACATCCGCTTGGGGCCGGCGCGTCCGGCTTCGTCTCGCGCTCACTTTAATCCCCGGGGCGGGGCAGGCGTTGCATTTCAGCCCATTGCCGTCGCCTTGGCTTCGGGGCCTTGGATGGAAAGTGGCGGGTCACCGGATCCCGGTGGCGTAAATTCGTGTCCGCTGGGATCTGCGTCCCGCCTCAGCAAACGCCGTTGGAGGAGGTTGCCGGCACCCGGCGTTACGCAGGGCTTTTCAGAGAAGTTTGACGAATGGGCGCAGGGTTAGCGGGTTGCTCGTCTGCGGCATTTCAGTCCGGCCTTACAGGATCCAAGTGAGGAGATGGCCTGTTCATGCTGCAGTTGAGTCCGGCTTTTATGTCAGCAAAGCGGCTTTCAGAATCAACGAGGGACCTCAACCTTCCTCCGTTAGAAATGGACCATTTGCAAACAACCCGAGTTCTCTCTGGAGCTGAGCTTAAAGGGCGAATTGTTTAGAGCTGAGCCGCCTGACAGACCCTCGGTGCCAGAATCGCAGTTAACGTCAATGCTCATAAAGGCAATCTGTTAGACCCCAGTTACTATTTATTAAAAATCCTACAAAGTCTGCTAGACAGACTTTAAATGTCCCCCCTTTTCTGCAGTGGTGGAAATAAAACCAGCATTACTATCTACCAATGAATAGGTATTTTAAGCAATGCCTCTTCAAATGCTAGTAGTTATGTATGCCTTACTCCAGTTCCTTCATCAGTTAAGCAGTTCTGTCTCCATGATCCTTAATAAAGATGCCACCTTTTTAATTCTCATTTTGGACTGACTTTAAGATGCTAATTTGTAAATAGCAGGGAAAAAAAGCAAGGTTTTATGATTTTTTTTTCATGTTAGTTAATTTATCTTTGAGCCTGGAAGGTTTGTGTGCATGTATACGTGTTATTGACTAGGGAAAAATTACTCCACATTCTTCCCTAATTTCATTTAAGCTTAGCCAAACTCCAGTGGCCCTTTAGGGAAGCATTGGGGAAATTATTAACCCTTGCCCCATACATAGAAGAGAAACCATCTGAAGTAGGCTTCAGTGCTTGAAATTATAGAATGGATTGATATTTTTCACTAAAGATTGGAAAACATCATTCCAAGAGTTATTTCAAACATCTAGCCACTCTGGCTAGTACGCAGATAGGAGACCACCAGGAAATCCTAGGGTTTTTGACTAGACTAGGAAGACAAATAAATGAATATATCCCAGACGCAGTGCAATGGCAAATTGTTTCCATAATGTTTCCAAGAAAATAGGCCAGGGTTACGGGCATGTTGCCTGGAAGGGAGCTTTACATTACTCTTTTAGGTATTGAGCCAGTGACTTCAGTGGTCAAAAAATAATGGAGAAAAATACATTGGGATGTAATGCACGTGGAAGAAAGTGGGTAACTGCAGAGGAGGCATTCAAGAGACATTCACATTCTGTCTTCAGGCTTCTCAGACCTCAAAAGATCTGAAGTGAAGGCTTCCTTTCCCAGGTGCGTTCCTAGCCTTCCAGTCATGATTAATCCAATCACATAGAAGCCTGTTCCTTTTGATCTGCAGCTAGGAAAGAAGGCCATGTTTGTTTTAATTTGATGTTTGATTGTTTGAGCACAGAACTGAAATCTGAGATTTGTAGGAGACTTAAAGGCAAGACCTTCTGGTTGCCTCTCTGTGCTGAGTTCCATGATTTAAAAAAAGGAAGGGGTTAAGGAGTTTCAGCTTCCATGTTTTCCCCCAATAGAAAAATTGAGGAAAAGTGTTGTGAAAACTGGGATCAAACCGAAAGGCAGCAACCTTTGACTTCAGGATATTAACCTGGAACCCCTCTGGGTAAGTGGTTGCAGACCTGCCTTGCTTTAGCTCAGTTCTAAGTACACAAGCCAAGGCTCTGTCGAGGCATGCCTTAGGTGGGAGAGGCAGTGTGGCATAGTGGTTAAGGCACCCGGCTAGAAACCGGGGAACTGTGAGTTCTAGCCCCACCTTAGGCACAAACCCAGTTGGGTCACCTTGGCCAGTCACACTCTCTCAGCCATAGGAAGGAGGCAAGGGCAAACCACTTCTGAAACCTTGCCAAGAAAACCGCAGGGACTTGTCCAGGCAGTCATCAGAAGCCAGGAGTCAGAATCGAGGCTTCTGCAGGTGAGGCCCCACAGTTTTACCCACCTGATGTTTTTTGCAAAACCTGATGGAACTAGCTCACTGAGGCAGAACTTGTCTTTTTCTTTTCACTTGGTGATTTTGTAAGAGTTCCTTCAAACTTCCAAGCCAGGGAGCATTATCCCAGCACAAACTCTGGTCTTCTGCAAGAAACACAATTCAAACTTCAGTGTGTCCATTCAATCCGAATTGGCTTCCTTTGTGCACATCTTAATTCCCTTTCTGTTTAAACCAAGCTACAGCAGATTTAATACAGAGAAAGCACCTCTTAAATAGGAAATCATTCTATGGTTTCCTTTTGGCCCTGCTATTTTTTTTAAGCTCTCCAGCCACCCATCCTGAGTGGGGGAGTTGATTTGGCAGGGGGGGAGCAAGGGGTGGAATAGTCTTTCCTTGGCTAATTCCCTTTGCCTTTTCTCAAATAACTTTTTGATTTGAGTCAAGGGAGAGGTTGAACAGGCGTTCTTTCTCCTCCTAATGTGATATAAATCGTCAATGCACTTTCAGTTTTCTTTCCCCCACCCCACGCCTTCCTCTCTCTTTCCTTTGAATGGTTAAAGCACCGACATGGAGATCATGACCATTAAAAAAAATCCTATCGGAGAAATAAAGCTGGTTAATAAGATTTTTAGAAGGGAGAAAGCTTTGTGCTCCCAAGTAAAAAAGAAAAAAAAAGTGTGTGTGTGTGTGGCGAGGGAGAACAGCTGAAGGTGACAGTTACTTCATGCTTAATAGGATCAGGGCTGCTTGCCTTAGGCTGCACGCTTCTGCTGGCTAAAAGTTCACCCCAGAAGAGGATGAATTGCGGGCTTTTAAAACATATGAAGTTTTTAACACATCTGTTACTTTTTGCAAAGGAAGGGGATTTTTTTAAGCCTTTGCTATGATTCCATGCAACGTTTGCTCCCCTCCCCTCCCTTTCCTTTCCTTTCCTTTGCTCTGCACATTTTCTCCTTCCTCCTCCTCTACCACCACCACTATCATGTCCACCTTCTCTTCTTCTTCCTCCCCTCCTCTATTTTTTAGAGAAATGATCCCCTGCTGTGGTGGAGACTTTTCAGTGGATAGTTAGGATTAAATGGTGTTTTCAGAAATCCTGCTTTAAAAAGTCATTTAAAACCGAGATAAGCCAAGTTAACTTTTGGGCTTGAGTAACAGGTGCACTAGCGAGCCTGTGCATGTTGACAAAAAACTAAAATTGCTGGGGGGGGGTTCCGATGGTGCTTATTCCTGGGAGGTGTAAGCAGGGTTGCAGCCAAATTTTTTGTGGGGGTTGCCTATGCTTAAAAAAAACAAAACCCAGTGCTGAAAGCCATCACTTTGTGACCATGCATGAATTTAAGTCAATTTGGTCCAGTTAAGTGGAAGCAATTCAAGCAATGGGACTTGAATGTCAGTGGAAATAACGTACCTTCAATAACATACAAAATATTGTGAATTATTTAGGTCTGGAGTGCAAACCAGATAAAACTATTCTTGCAGTTTAGCTAATCTTTGCCTGGAATCTATTCTAATAGGTATTATTATAGTCCATATTTTCCATATTAAATATGGGGTAAAGTTAACTGGAGGCTATTTTCTTTTTCCAAAAAAGCCTGTTATTGTTATTAGATAGACCATGATTGTTATTGGATTTTATTCAATTACAAGAAGGTGGAATATGAATCATGAAATAAGATTTTGGTTTTCAAAAAATAGGTGAAATTTCACTTTTCAGAGTTGAAATAGAAATAAACTGGTGTATTCATGGTCATAATTTTCATTATATTTGGAGTCATTGTTACTTTGGAGTTTAATCCATACAATACCCAGGTGAAAATAGATTTATGTTCTGTAGTCTTTCCCCAAAGCCAACAAAACAAATATCTGAGCTGTAGCCACTGTCTTTCGCAGAACACCTTCAGTTAACAACTGGTTGCAGCTCAGGACCCTGGACAAAGGAACAGACCTGGTTCCTATATCAACCTCCTCATCCACAGCAGAAACCTGACTTCATCTTGCCTCATTTGTACTCTCCATTCTTTAGGAAGTGCTGGGATAAGATTATATGAATATTTATTGTCTAATTTCCTTAGACCCAGTAACAGCAGAAAGGAAAACAGCCAGCGAGTACAGATAAATGTAGTGTTCCGCTTTTCTTGAATAATTCCCCCCTCTTTTTTCGTTAGGAGGTGAAATTTCATTGGAAACTTTTAAAAAAGGCATTTAATTAGTTGGGGTGTGTGTGTCCGTGTGTGTGTGTCAGTCAGAGTGCGCTGTGCTTTGGAACAACACACTGCCGCCGGCCGCCTTTGGAGCGACAGCTTTCCCAACGAGGCGGTCAATATGCAAAATTGATGACCGCACCTTCTTTGTGGCGGCCCATTGTGCGTGGGTTGCTTATGAAGGCTAATCCAATCATAAATTGCACCCCCGGACCAATGAGGGAGCCCCGAACGCCCGATGAATGAAACTCAAGTGGAGCACCCCATTGTTAGAGCTGTCACTTTTGAAAGCGCCTCGGCGGCGCTGACCACTATAAAACCCACCGCGCCGGAGGAAGGGCCAGGAGACCCGGGCCGACTCGCGAGGTGGATCTCTGCCGAAGAGGGTGGCCGTCGGGCAGGCAGGGATAGGAGGGAGAAGGGGGAGGGCCAGAGAACACGAGCACCGTGTGGTGACGACGACGACGACGACTATTATTATTATTTTTTGCAAGCGAGGTCTTCCCTCCGTTTCTTGGCAAAGAGGTTCTTCCCTCCACCCTCGCTCGCTCGCCTGCCTCCCACTCTTGGCGCACTCCCTTGCCCAGGCCATGATGTTCCCAAGCCTGCTCGCGCCTCCCGCCGTGTACCCGAGTCTCCTGCGGCCGACCCCGACTCTCACGTTGCCTCAGACGCTACAGTCCGCCTTCTCCGGCCCCTCCGGCTTCTTGGTGGAAGACCTCCTGCGGATCGGCCGGCCGGCAGGTTATCCCCCCAGAGGAAGCGCCCCGCCGCCCAGCTTGTCTCCCCCGGTTGGGGGCGCCGGCGCCGCCAGGACTGACGCGGCGAGCGCAGCCGATCTGGGGACTGCCGATTCCTCCGGCGCCAGGACCAGCTGCTCCTCCCAGTCGTCGGTCTCTTCCAGCGGGGACGCCACTTTCCTGAAGTTCGGAGTCAACGCCATCCTGTCCTCACCTCCGCGGACAGGTAAGTGGCCAGCGCGTCAGCAGCGCCCGCCTCGGCAGCGGACTTTCCCCTGCCTTCTGCAAAGATTGTCGGGAAAAGGCGCCGAGGGCCGGGGTGGGGGGAAATCAGGTGGGTGGTAGATGGCAGTGAAGGACAAGGACCGGTCTCGTCGAACACGTCCTCCAAGAGGGAAGCAGAAGGAGGGACTCGCAGCGTCGCACGTCATCAACCAGGTGGAACTGGGGCTCGTAAAAGAGCCCGGCGCCACCAAAGAGAGCAGGCGCGCTCGTGCCTCGGGAAGCGGCCCGCCCACGCAAAATGAACCAGACCGGGGAGGGAAGTCAGGCGGAGAGAATCCAGGACCTGCCGAAGTCTGCCAAGGGCCCCCGAATGCCAGGCGCCCGAGAAGCAACCGTCCTCGCTCCTCTCCTGCTTCCCGCCAGAGCAACGGGCTGGCCAGTGAAGGAAGCGGGATCCAGTGCATTGGAGGTCCGGAGGAGCAGTTCCGATCTCAGCGTTTCGCTCGGTTCTGCAGGAGAGCGGGGAAACGTGGGCTTCCCACTTCAGAAGCTCCTCGGGTCTTTGCTAATCCTCCCTTTCTTTCCCCAGAGACTTCTCCCGCGCTGATCCAGAATGTCCCCGTCAAGACCTTCTCCTTCCCCTACTTCGAAGGCTCCTTCCAGCCTTTTATTAGATCATCTTATTTCCCAGGTAGGTTTTGGGGCCGGGCGGGACCGGCTTCCTCAGCTGCCCGTTCCTCTTTTCGCTGGTCTCTTCGAGCTATCCAACTGCCCGACGAGGCACGTAGTGGTCTCGGGGGCGGGGAGAGGCTTGCATATGGCAGAGGGTCTTCCTAGTCGGACCTTAACACGATGCAAGCTGACCCTGCTGCGTCTGACACGTCTTTCTCCTGATCCTGGATTCCTGCCCCAGAGTCTCGGCCTAATGGCATCCCCGAGCCTACTCCTTTTGTTGTGAGGATTTCTTGAAATCGGCAACTTCTCTCTCTCTCGGAGGGGTGGGGAGGGGAGGGGAGAGGAAGGGAGGACGGGCCTCCGGTTCAGAGGTTGGACGGGGTACAACATTCAAGAATCAGTCGCGCCAATTTGATGCCCTATTTAGCACAAGCGGCGACTGCGTGACATTTTCCTTCCCAATTCCTTCCCCCGCCTTTCCCGGGACTGCAAATTAGCCGGGATGGTCACGGTCCAAGTGTGAGGCGCTTGATTTCTGACTGAGCTGCTGCCGGCCTTCCTTTCGGGGCGGTGGTTTTCCCACAGAGCCGCGGGCTTTCCCCCCGGTCGTCAACAAAAGTTTCAGCACCATGACCAATTTGGTCAGCTCCCTCCGGGCAGCCACACACAGACCTGGCGCTGACTCTGCCGTGCTGCTGATAGACATTTACCAGCCATGGGCTAATTTCCCATTAAGGGTCATTCGCTTTGCCAACGGTTTCACAAGACCTCATGGGGCGCGCCCTTGTTTGGGCACTTCGGTGTGGCCGGAGCCAACCTTCTTCAACCCTCCCCTCTCCAAAACTTTTGCTTCAGCTGAGTTATCACATCAAAGAAGGGCTTGGAATTGGGGTTTGTGGCACTGCAGAACACTGTAAAGCCAAAGCATCTAGAGCGAGATATATCTATGCACTTCCACCTGAGAACTACCATTTGTCCTGATACTTAATGTTCCTGTACCAATACAGCTCCCTTCTCTCCACCAAAGAAATGGAAATGCCTTTAGAGCAGCTAAGACTGCAACAAAGCTGCTAATCCGTACTTGGAAAGGAGGCCACTAAGAACTCACCAGTAAGGCCCCTGCTATTTCTCCCAAGGTTTTTTTTTTTTTTAAAGGCTTGAGAGATTTAAAAGAGATGACTATAGAGATGTCCCAGAAGCAATATTAAATATAATTATATATAATTATCCTTACTGAAGGATGCTGTACTGTTTAGGTTTTCCAACTTTATTTGTAACTAGAAACACACAGAAAGGGAGAGCTAGATACAGGATCATTCTCATACACTTCATATTATACTTTAGTCCTCCAAGCAAGGGTCATAAAGTTGCTGAAAATTCTGTATCTGCAATAAACTAGTTAAATAGCCAAATCAAATTAACTCCAGATCTTAGTTTTGGAACTGAGTAAAATTACGACTAAGAATAGCAGTGTTAATAAATATTGCTTCAACTGCATATATTTTGTTCCAAAAAGCCAAGAGCTCTTCCATTCATTCTCTTGATAATAGAATTTGCTTCCTTTCTCCAGCCCTTGAATGGCCCAACAAAAACAACTTGAGCTTTATATATAGCTTTTCATGTCCATTTAATGAAAATGATTTGGGGAAAGAGAAGACTGTGTCATCAGTATTCTCCCCAAGCAGCTTGGCATGCAGTTGTGTTTAGTTTGAAAGTGTAAATCTCTTTTGTTCCAATAATATATGGCTTTAGCTGCTTGTCCTCAGTCTTTTTCTGTTAGTTCATTACTACACAATTACTATTCATGCTTCATTAGAATCTCTGTTTCTCTTTGGGAGTTTTTCTTTCCACTTAAAGGCAAAACTCTGCCCTTTTTATCATACCAGTTCCATTGGGAACCAGTCAATGTGCTAATTAGCTGTTACTTTTCATGTCTTCAGAATGAATTCTACAAGTTTTGTAAGGAAGAGGGAGGAAAGATTCATATTTTCTTTAAAAGGATGAATACCAATTGATCAAAACTTTTATGTAAAAATGAGGGTTTTGTCCTAGCTTTAAAAGAAGTCCTTTACTTTACTTTGGGGTTTAATGACATGTGTGGCATTAAAAAAAAATCTTTTAATAAAAGTAAACACTTTTAAAAATACCCTTATTTTCTAGGTCTTTTCTTTTCCAGCCTCATATCTTTGGATTTGGTAACAAAACAGGCCAGCTGTAAATACATTCACTTGCTCTATTAAATGAAATCAGGTTACGTTTACTGGAAAGAACAGCAAGTCTGTTTCATGAATTTAGATTAATAGTTGCTGATCTGCTTGACCCAGATAAGTATGTGTAAAGAAAAAGAGAAGAAAGCCACAATGAGAGAGAAGAAGGGAAAACTAGTGGCCATATCTTCAGGCATGCAAATCACAGGGAGATTTGTCACTGATTTGAATAGGATACAGATGAACTGTTTGGGAACAGGAATATCCTTGGCTCCAATTTTTTTTTCTTCTTCAGCTGATTTAGCCAATAATGCTTATTCTTCTTTTTCTCACAGCTTCCTCTGTGGTGCCTATCCCTGGCACATTCTCTTGGCCCCTGGCTGCCCGAGGGAAACCACGCCGAGGGATGCTCCGCAGGGCAGTCTTCTCAGATGTCCAACGCAAAGCCCTGGAGAAAATGTTTCAGAAACAGAAATACATCAGCAAACCAGATAGGAAAAAACTGGCAGCTAAGCTGGGCCTAAAAGATTCCCAGGTAATTCTTTATCCTTCTATCCAGCCACATGAGCAGATTAATCTTTAGGCAATCCAGGCAATCTGTGAGTTGCAAAGGGCTGTTTCTTAATTTATAGCCTAAACCACCCAATTACAACACACTGAGCAACAAATTAGCCAATCCAGTTTGGCCTGAGGTAAGGTGGAAACCCAGCCAATGAGGTTAGTTTATTATTAAATGTTTGTGTGAAACCAGAAATGAGTGAATGGAGCAACAGCTTCAAGAGGCTGCCCTTAAACGGTGCTTGGGATTTGCAATTAATGTAAAATAAAGCATCTGGTGGAATACTAACCCATGCAAGTACAGCATGCATGCGACATACTGAAAAGGCTTACAGGCAGAATGGAAGGTGTTCACATTATCCCTTAAAGCCCTTAAACAGGGTTAGCATGACCTAACTTTTCAATGGGGACAGCAGAAAATTTAGGATGAGAATATTTACCTCATTAAAGGAATAGTTTTAAAAAGGGGTTAGCCACAGAAAAGATGCTTATGGGTGCTCTCTCTCGCTCTCTCTCGTTCTCTCTCCCCACTCAAATTCCTACCCTAGGTGGGACAGAGATACAGGTCTTACTTTCTTACTTTAGGGAGTCAGCAGGATCATTATAGGAGGGTCTAGTCCCTAAGGTGAAGTGTAAGATGAACTGGCAGGTAAAGAAGGGGCCAAGAACCTGTGACCTTCCAGATATTGTTGAACTGGGATTCCCAGCATTCCTTACCCTTGTCTGAGAAGGTGGGCTTAAGGGTACTGGAATTACATAGTTAAGGATTAGAGTGCAGCCGCATGGGCTTGTTTCAGTTAGAGGATGTTCCAACACCCAGTCTTAACTGACAACAGCTGCTTCTGAATTTTAAAGACGAATTTTGGTTAACACTTAGAAAGTGCTTGCTTCTGTGCCTGATCTTTTGTGCATCTCACTGGATAAGCAGCAGCAGAAGCAAATGAGTGTTGCCACAAAGCTAGGCTAACATAGCTGATGACTAGGGGTTATGGGAACTATCGTCCAAAATATCTGCAGGACATTAAGTTGCCAGCTCAGATCGTTCCTCATACAAGGTTGAGAAGTAAGACAGTAACTAAAGTAAAGCTGGAGAAAACATGCTGCAAAGGAAATATTCAGTAAATGTGGAGGAGCTGTGGGTAAATTCTTCCTTCTGTATGAGAAAAGTTCAGGCCAATAACTACTTACCATTAGATTTAAAATCCAAGGAATTTCTTCAGTATTATACAGACCTCAAGAGGCTCTCTTGAAAGCCCAAAACAACGGAAAAGATTTGGGATATGAATTTCATGAATCAGCTTGGAACTTTTTGTGGCATAAAATTTAATTTAAATCTGTACTGGTAAGCCATTGAGACATGAGCATAAAATAATTCCTATATTGGTCAAAAATTATACTATATTAGTTAAAATATTTCTGCATTGTGTTTGAAGTGCTACAGTCAACTTAGTACACTTTATCATCTCTGTTGAGAAGGCTCATTGAATTAGACAATCTAATTTGTTTGAGGAAATCAGGAAAATTACCATACTATCTTTTGTAATTAATTAATCAATTCTACTATAAGTTTCTTGTCTTTATTTCCCCAAACATATAAACTGTTACAGCACAAAATATTCAATTTTTCTTTCTGTTATCTGTCACATTTGCTGTAGTAAAATATTTGAAATTAATATACAGTTTTCATTGGATCAATGATACTTAAAAAGTTGGAAATTGAATTGGCTGAAAAATTAATTCAACAGGAAAAGTTGTTGGTTTATTCAGTGTGAAAGATTATTTTTAATTACTTTTCAGTTATATTAATAATATATTTCCTACTAAAAATTATTTTCATCTATTCAAATGTCTTTGAATATGGGTTTTTAAAAATTTTCTCCTTAAAAAAATAAATGTACCCATACAGCAGTATTCCTAGGTTTTATACACAAACACACACACACATAAATACACGTGCACACACAAACATACATACACACACACATGCGCACACATACACACACACTTACATACACACTGCCTATTTTATTTATTTAGGTTTTTTTTTCACTTTCTCCACTTATTATTTTCTTATTATTACTGATATGTTTCTTTAATTGAAAAGAAGAAAAACTAGACATATAATCCTAACTTTTCCTTACATTTCAAGTTGCTGCCACCTTTAGCAAGATTACAAGTCTGGAGAGCCAAATAATTGTCAGGCCTGTTACACAGTGTCATTAACAATCTGTAATACAAAAATCACAATCTCTTACATTCAGCAATGAGATATGAACTTTTGGACCACTCTGATGATTCTGGAAGAATCCTATAGATTTCCACAATGCTTTGTTTATACTGTGAAGTCATCCTTGGTGTATTTTGGAGTTGGAATCTCCCCAAGGGTATTCATTTGTATCAATCTACTACTATATAATGACCCTTTGGAGCTTTGAAAGAAGGGAAGGATCTCACTTCCTGAATGGTTTGGCCTCAGAAGAGTATTTCAAGGTTGATGCAAGTCAGGTATATGGTTATCTTGATCTTGATCTACCTTCTTGTATCTTTAAAAATTCTAGGTGAAGATCTGGTTCCAAAACAGAAGAATGAAGTGGAGAAACTCCAAAGAGAGAGAACTCCTGTCATCTGGTGGCTGCCGGGAACAAACCTTACCCACAAAGTTCAACCCTCACCCAGACCTCAGTGATGTGGGCAAGAAAGGCACTGGCGAGGAAGAGGAGGAAGCAGTATCCCCATTGTACCCAGCTAGCCCAAGGCATTCCTTAGCTTACCACCAGTCCACAGATCATACACATCAGAGAGACAGGTTGGATTCCCAGATGCTCCCTTCCCCCACACATTCCAGCAGTCCCAGTAAGCCATCAGACTTTTCAGACTCAGAAGAGGAGGAAGAGGAGGAAGGAGAGGAGGAGGAAGATGAGGAGATCACAGTTTCGTAGAGACCTTCTCATTATGAAAAAAGAGGACATTGAGGGTTGTAAATAAACTAAGGGCTACTTGATTAAAGAGGTAATATTTTTCCACATCCATGCATTTCACATGGAAAATACAATGCTTGTCATTCATCTGTAAGATTTCTGCATGTCATATACTATAGCTATCCTAGTTGTAAAACCTCAGCTTTTATATTTGTTATGTTCTTTGTCTAACCAGCCAGCATTCCTATTTTAGACTGGAAATTATATTCCCAAAAATTATTTAAAAACCTACTTGTCATTAAGTCTATGTGGATACAATAAAAAAAAACTCAGTTGTAGGGTGATACAGTAGAGACAATTATTTTACCAAAGGATTGGGGTGATCAACAATTTTCCCTGTGTCTAATATATGCCTTCTAGAGGTGTTGGTCAAGTTGGTTGAGAATGATAGGGAAAAGTATCCAACAATTCTAGACCGCACCAAGTTGGGGGAAGCAAACTTAGTGAGTTGACTGCTGTACCAAACTGCTCTGTCAGTGGGGATAAATTATTGACAGTATACTTTTC